AACAGGCTGGAGTTGGCTTGAGCAAAGATGAATCCTATTACATATTCCTTGCCCTTAAAAACCTAACTAGTGTTCAGCCAATCCAGACCTGTCGCTTCTGGGGCAAGATTTTGGGCCTGGAAATGAACTATATTATTGCGGAAGCACAATTACGTGAAGGGGAAGAGGAGGAGGAAGCAGGAGAGGAAGTTACTGAGGAAGAAGTGAAAGGGATGGATGAGGTCGAAGAGCAAGATGAGGAAAAAGAAAAAGAAGATGAACCACCAAAGTCCACCTATAAACCCCCACCTGATATCCCAAAAGAAGAAAACGGGACTGGGGCTAATAAATATGTCTACTTTGTCTGTAATGAGCCAGGCAAACCCTGGGTGAAGTTGCCTCCAGTGACACCAGCCCAGATTGTCTGTGCCAGGAAAATCAAGAAGTTCTTCACTGGTCGGCTGCATGCTCCTGTTGTGAGCTTTCCTCCTTTTCCTGGAAATGAGGCCAATTACCTGCGTGCACAGATAGCTCGAATCTCAGCAGGAACCCATGTCTCTCCCACTGGATTTTACCAGTTTCCAGAAGAGGAAGAAGAAGAAGAAGGTGGGGACACATATGAAGAAAATCCTGAGTTTGAGCCTCCTGCTGTGGCTGAAATGGTGGGTTCTCTCTCCACATGGGCACACCACGTAAAGAATATTCTGAAGCAGGTATGTGCTCAGCAGGTATGTGCTCACACCGAGCACCATTCGGATACCATTCACACTGCAGTACTTGTACAGTACAGAATGTCAATGACACTCCTCACCTGCACCTTCAGACTATGGTATTGGACTGCAACGGTTTTATACAGAAGATATATTTTATATATAATACGTAAATATCTTGCACATGTACATATATATATATATATATTTAGGAACCTTCTAGATTTAGTACTTTTTTCAATTATGTGTTCTTGAGCTTGAAACCTATCTTTAGATAACAGTATGGAGTTAGGCCCTGATAACTATGATTTCTGGCAATCTTTTGTATTAGGTTCTCTGCGTTGACATCCTTACTTGACAAAAATGTTTAAAATTTTCCTTTCTTGGGTAGGATGCTAAAATGCAGATAGCTTTTGATTGTATGCTAAATTGAACTTATTTGTTGTTTTCTTCTTTTTGTTTTATACTTTCTGCTGTAAAACATGCAAGTGAAAAAGCTTAAAAGCATGTGCTATCAGGCCTGTGCTAGAAAGAGGTATTACTAATTTGATGATCAGTGTTGGATGGTTGGCTGGCCAGTCTACCAGTTCAAGAATGCTAGTGTAATATAACAGCAAATGGTAGGAAATGAGGTTTAAACTTACTACCAGCAAAACAATAGTTGTAAAAAATAAAGTTTATATGCACTAGAGCCTTAAGAACATGTTCCTCTGACTGGTAGCTAAATAACAAGGTAGATTTTAAAGGAAGAGGTGAAGTCCATAAGTTAAGCCTCTTAGTTTGCAGTAACTGGTAGTCTAGCAAGGATATAAACGAAACTGGTCAGGAACTGAAGACTACAAAATCACAAAAAACTAATGGCAGAGGTATAAGGTTACTCTGAAACAGTAAGCAGGGATGAGCGAGGAAGGAGGGAGGAAAGAGGGATATAGGAAATGCTCTGCCAAGGAGATACAATATTCTACCAAGAGGATACAATATTCTGCCAACAATATACTGGTTATGGAATACATATTTTTCTTCTCCCTATCCCTTAACTGTGTGTGTGTGTCTGAGCCAATTGTTTTAACTGGCTTGCATTCTTTCAGTGATTGTTACATGTATTTATTATTTTTCCGTATCAATTATAGGGTCGCTGTGTTTGGATTAATCCTCAAAAATTAGAGGAAAAAAATGAAGAAGAAGAAGAGGAGGAAGAGGAGGAAGAGGAGATGGATGAGCAACAGGCAGAAACAGGACCACCCCTTCTTACTCTGCTCTCTGAAGATGAAGGTATTCTTCATGGAACGTGAAGTTTTTGATAGAGAGCCACTGGGAATGTTGGCATTTAGGTAGTAAATATTTGAAGTTATAGGACTCTGGCACTTTTTGGAGGAATATAGTTTGCCCCTGTGGGGTTAACACATTTGTTTAGAGAATCAATCAAAAGCAAAATGGTTAACAGTATTGACATTAAAACTGAAATAATCAGGTTTACTAGGTAACAATCTTGTTGAGATTAAAGGGAAAAAAATAACTTAGACTTGTCAGGTTATTGCACATTCAGGACAGCTGAAATACATTCAGCTATTTTTACCTCATCTTTTTAGGCCAAAAAAAAAAGTGTGTGTGCACGTGTAAATAAATAAATTAATTAATATGTACACACATACACTGATATTCGGTATTTGTATAAACATTTAGATGTTTTAGCATATTACTCCAGCAAATCATGGGAATAAGGGAGCCTGAATATTAGATTACATCAATATTAAATTATTTTCCTACTCTCCATTCTTTAATGGAGGTGAAATATAACTATATAATGTATCCATAAGTGCTAAAAAGTCCTTGACAAAAGAAACCAGGGTTAATGCTACTGAATTTGAGTAGCACTCCTGTGGGTCTTTTAGAATTCCTATGCTACCTGCTCATACATTCGAGCCACTTGTTCAACTACAGTTTATTGTTTCTAACTTTTGGCTCTTCTAACATGCAACTTAATACAACTGTTGCTTGAATTCTGTAAGTCTTTCTGTAATTCTGAAAATCTTGTAGCTCAGTCTTAAATGTTTTGTAGAGGCTTCTAAGTGCATTTATTCATAGACAGTGTATGTTTGGCTGCCTCCAGGAATTAAAGACATCCCTGCTTGGACAGCTCAGCATTCTACAAACCTGATCCCACAACACTCTGTTGCAATTATCCAGTCTAACCGGTGGCCTGGAGCATATGCCTTTGCATCTGGCAGGTGAGAATCTAGTTGACATGGTTACAACACAGACTGTATATGCTACACACAGGCACCTGGCAAAGTTGCTTTATTATTAATTCATTGACTGAATTCTAACTATTCCGGAGACTGATGGAGAAGGCCACTTGAATGTGCACAGCAACAGTAAATATGTATTTAAGAGTGAAAACAAATAATCATTTTAAAGACTGGTATAAAGTTAGTGGATGTAAATGTCCAGTTAGTATTTGGGCACAGTCCTTGATTTAAAACCTGTGTTCTTGGGTCTGTGGTACTTTCTACAAAAACATCTACATTCTGTGGTTCTAATGTTTGTTTGTTTCCACTACAAATAGTACAGTCATGACCTCCACCTGCTTTTAAAAAGGCACTGGAGTTGGTGTCAGAAATGGTGCTATGTTGTTACCCAAGTGAAGTTGGAGTCATATTGCAATATAGTGCAGTGACACTTCATCATTTTAAACAGAAGATGTATTAATCAACCGTTAGAGCAGTTAAAAAAAGGTGCCATCTTTTAAATTTTTCTGTTACAGGATATCTGTAACTTTTTGCGCAGCAGAGTAAGGAAGCCTGACAGTATCTCTGCTGATATTTTGTCAGGGGCTGAATATTTTCTTTCACTTCTCTTTCTCAGGAAATTTGAGAACATCTACTTTGGCTGGGGTCACAAATACAGTCCAGAAAACTACACTCCCGTCCTGCCCCCACCAGTGCAAGAAGAATATCCCAGTGGTCCAGGGATCACTGAGGCAAGAGACCCCACTCTGGAAGAGGAACTGGCTTTCAAGGCTGCGCAGGAAGCTTTAGCCGCAGGTGAAGAAGAGGAAGAGGAAGAGGAAGAAGAGGGGGATGATTAAAATGTGGGGGGAAACATATTGTTTTAAAACTTTAAACGTGAATAGTATTTTCATGATGTAGTCATTAATTTGTTGACCTTAAAAGAAATGCAATTGGAGCATGCCTTCTTTTTTGATTTCTGTAGGCTTCTCTTTGCAGCTACCTTCCACTCCTTCTCCACCCCTAGAGCCCTTCATGAAGACTGTGCAATGAATGACTTAGCCTTTTTCTTAGATGACTGTGCAGTCTGCTTGCTAAAATGATATTGAACTAAGAACTATAATCCACCAAATGTTCACACTGTTTTTCTAACCCTCACTTCAGTACATTTTAAATAAAAAAAATTTTAATCACATAACAATGTGTGAAATGTGTGCTTTTGTGTGCGAAAGCATACTGTTTAGATTCAGTAGACAGCTTATCGAGGTACTGGCCAAGTGCATGGGGATGACACAGATCAGCAGCACTGCTGAGGCCGCACTTCAAATCCTGGGTTCAGTTTTGGGCCCCTCACTGCAACAGAGATATTGAGGTGCTGGAGTGTATCCAGAGAAAGGCAACAGAGCTGGTGAAGGGTCTGGAGCACAAGTCTGATGAGGAGCGGCTGAGGGAGCTGGGAGTGTTTATTCTGGAGAGGAGGAGGCTGAGGGGTGACCTTATCGCTCTCTACAAGTACACGAAAGGAGGTTGTAGCCAGGTGGAGATCAGTCTCCTCCTCAGTCACAAGCGATATAAGAAGAGCAAACAGCCTCAAGTTGCGCCAGGAGAGGTTTAGATTTGGATATCAGGAAAAATTTCTCTATGGAAAAGGCTGCCATGGATTGGAACCGGCTGCCCAGGGCAGTGGTGGAGCCACCATTCCTGAAGGTATTTAAATAACCTGTAGCTGTGGCATTTCAGGACACGGTTTAGCGGTGAATACGGCGGTGCTGGGTTTACGGTCAAACTCGATGCTCCTGGAGCCTTTTCCCCGGGGCAGCCAACCCTCCATCCCCGCACCACGGCCGCGCACATGCTCGCATCCCTGGGCGGCACCACCACAGCGCTGCCGGCAGACGGGAGGGGGGAGTTTCACGGTAGAGCTCAGGGGCTGATCAGCCTGTCCCTCACTGCGTTTTCCTTGCCCGTCTCCCTCGCTCCTTCCCCTTCCCCCCCCCCCCACCTGCTGGAGAGTGGTACGCTCCGCGTGCGGCTTCCGTCCCACGTGGGCCAATAGGGAGCGGTCTCTGGAGCAGTTCAAACTGCGGTGGCGGTTGGGGCGGGCGGTGTGTGTCTGGAGCCCTCTCGGGTCTCTGTCCCGGTTCCCGGTCTCCCTTGTCCCGGGCGGGCATGGCGGACGAGGGCGCGGTCACGGTCTGCGTGCGTGTGCGGCCGCTCATCGCCAGGTGAGGCTCCGGGCAGACGGGAGGGGGAGGCTGCAGCGGCGCTTACCCCGGAATGCTGCCGTGCTCCTCGCACCGTGAGGGGGCCGGGGCAGGAAGACGGTGTCTGTCCCCGTGGCGGATAGACACTCTCTACCCCGGGGGTCTGGATCCCTCCGGGGTAGAGAGTGTCGCGGTCAGGGGTCCGTGTTACGGGAGCAGAGCCCTGGCCCGATGAAGGTAACAGAGTATCTTCTTCTCTTAGAGAAAATGCTTCAGGAGATAAAGTGTCCCTGCATTGGAAGAGCGAAAATAATACTGTTTCCGACGTGAATGGTACCAAAATATTTAGTTACGGTAAGAATGTGAAAGCAATTGTTTTGCTTTGATGCTTATGCGGACCTCCGCTACTGTACTGCTTGAACGTGTCGACGTGAGTGCCCTGAGCTTCCTGCAGTGTCCCTGAACTTTTCCCATTTCATAATTCTGAAGCACACAGGATTTCTGGTTTAGGCAACACCGGGAATGTGCTTTTGAAGTCAGCTTCCTGGTGGACGTTGCTTTCTCTGTTCTGATTTATGCTCTAATGGCTTTGGAACACGTGAACTCGATTCTTTTCATATGAAATCCAGTTACAGACTAGACCAGGGCTAGTCCAGAGCATTTAGGGAGAAGGGGGTGGGGGGTAGTGAGTTGACCGTGGCTGGTTGCCAAGTACCCACTAAAGTCACTCTCTCACTCTCCCTCTGCAACTGGACAGAGGAGAAAAAAAACAGCTAAGGATTCTTGAGTTGAGATAAGAGCTGGGAGAGGTCACTTACTGATTACCTTCACGGGCAAAACAAAGTCAAAGTGGAGATATTAATTGAACTTATTACTAACAGGATCAGAGCAAAAGAGTGAGAAGTAAAATAATCTAAAAAGACCTTCACCCCACCCCTGCTTCCTTCCATGCTCTCCCTCCTCCCTGCCAGCAGTGCAGGGAGACAAGGAATGGGGGTTATGGTGAGTTGTTGTTTCTGCCGCTTCTGCAGAGGAGTCCTTCCCCTGCTCCCATGGGATCTCTCCCATGGGACACAGTTCTTGATGGACCTCTCCAATGTGAGTCCATCCCTCGGGCAACAGTTCTTCATGAAACTGCTGTCCTGTGGGTCACTCCTCCATGGGGTGCAGTCCTTCATGAATGAGCTGTACCAGCGTGGGTCCCCCACAGGGGCCACAAGTCCTACTGGGAAAAAACCTGCTCCAATGTGGGCTTCCCTCTCCACGGGCTGCAGGTCCCCAGCAGGACCCTGCTCCAGAGTGGGCTCCTCCATGGGCTGCAAGTTGATCTCTGCACCCTAATGGTCCTCCATGGGCCGCACGAGGACAATTAGCCTGTCTTGTCTGATTTACAATCCTCAGAGATAAACTAGCCATAACTATACTAAATAGGATGACTGTTTAACTGTGTCCTCCATTCTTACAGTTTTATTACTTATCTGTCATCTGTGCATCGCATCTTTCTTGGTTTTGTGTTTAATATTTATTTTAAAATAAAATTCTAAAAGCCTGATTAGTAGTGCCACAACGATATTTTATGTTTGAATTACTCTACAAACAGCGATGCCTATTTATTGGATTTGAAGTCAGTGATACTGAGTAAGATGATAGGTTGGTTTTGACTTGCAATACAGGGGATTCACATGCTTTATTTTAATTTGTTTTTAAGATCATGTCTTTCACTCCAGTGACAACACTCAGCAGTTATATGATGGTGTAGCTGTTCCAATTATACAGTCAGCTGTGCGAGGTTATAATGGTAAGTTTTAAAACTGTGCTTAAATCCTGTTTGTAAAGTGTTTTAGAAATAGTTGGTAAAACTCTACTATCTTTCTAGGCACAATTTTTGCTTACGGACAGACTGCTTCAGGGAAGACTTACACAATGATGGGAAATGAAGATTCTGTGGGCATTATCCCTAAGGCAATTCAACATGTTTTCAAAATTATTTGTGAGGTGAGCAGTTCCGTTAAATTGAAGTGACTGAAAGGACTAGTAATATTTGTGATCATTACATAAAAGTTAATTTTAGTATTGAGGACCTTATGAAGGAAGTGAATTTATATTAGACTATATGTTGCAGTTGCTTTGCTAGCCTGGAAAAGATGAGTGGTTTAAAACAAAAAGCTAATGGGACTTTAGTTGAAATTAAATCAGAGCAACACTGACGAGAGTTCTTAAACTTGCAAATATGTTCAGCATTGATTACAAGTATAAATAGATACTCACTTTTTCATGTGGTAGATAAGATAACATGAAGCTTTGTGTTTATTCTGCTATTTTAAAAGTCTAAAGAATTAACAACAATAAAGACTTTTTTTTTGGTGGGAAGAATATGACACTATATTTACTTATTTCAGACTTACAAAAGAATTGCTAATTGCTCAAGGTTAATGTAAGTAAGGAGAATGTATAAGTTAGAACAGTGATTTCTAAAATATGATTTGTTGAGTGCTTGCTTCTGCCTTGAGGATATCAGGTAATCGTTATCAGTTAAGTGAAATGCTCTCTGCTCCTTTAAGGAGGTGCAGGGTACCTTGGGAGGTTTATGAAAGCAACTGAAGCCAAGAAAACTTTCCCTGAGTCCATTGTGCAGCCTTTCCACACTCCAATATTCTCTACCAAGGAGGTAGGGGAAGAAGCAGCAGCAAAGTAAATCCAAACAAGCAGAGAGAGAAGACAGGGTACACAGAGAGGAAAGAGCCTAAGCAGGAGGAAATTGGTTATGAAAAGAGTATTTAAGTGGGAAAACCGTTCTCATGCTTCTGTGTGTAAAATTATCTTAATTTTACAACCTATTAGAAGTGGTATATCATTAATGCAGCTGGAAAGAGGTGCTATAGAAGAAAAATTATTCTGTATTGGTAGATGCTAATGCTACACAGAGGATGAGGGGAAAGACATCTGTAGAACAATATCCAAACATACATCTCTGAGTTAAGAATATTTGCATTAAAAGATATTAATCAGTTAGTCTGTTAATAATTTTTTTTTTCTCTTTCAACGTCAGATCCCAGATAGAGAATTCTTGCTAAGAGTTTCTTACATGGAAATCTATAATGAAACCATTACAGATTTGCTTTGTGATAGTAGGAAAAAGAAGCCTTTGGGAATTCGTGAGGACATTAATGTAAGTGGATCTTATGTAATGTAAGTGTTGTATCTGCTTGTAGTAAAAGAATTTGAAAACAAAATGCCTTCAGAGGCATCTAGTTGAAAGCTTTTCTGGGTCAAATTGTGTAATTGTATCCTCAGCATTAGCAGAAGGACACTTGATATTGTAGAATAACAACAGTGACTTTGGGCTTTCTGTAACTAGTTTACCTTTTTCAAAGTAGATACACTTTTCTTCTACTACAATCATGGAATAACCATGAGACTGGAACTATTCAGTAAGATGATCACCATAGAAAAAGAAATCTACTTTAATGCTGTGTTCAGTTTCTTTATATAAAGTTTTGTAGCAAATAATAAAAATTGGTTGATTGTTGTTTTAGTTGTTTTGGTTTGTTTTTTTACTTTGATGCCCTAAACAATGGATGTTTTTGGAATATGGGAAGAAGAGAAATTTACCAGTTGTATGATTATATCCTTATTACATTTACTGAAAAATATATTCCTGGATTCCCTCAGAAAATGTCCAGAAGGATATTTCTCCCAGCAGTTCTGTTTTTTGGAAACTTTCTAAATCTCTGGGTTTTGATTCTTGTGCCTTTAAGCCACAGTTTTGATGAAGGTCTAAACTTACCCTCTTTACTTTGGAGTAAAAAGACATTCAGCTGTTGAATAAATAGCATAATAATTGCTGATTATGTTAACTTTATGTATTGAAGTGAGTTTTGGAGTTCCGGGGAATTTATGACTGTGTTTATTCTATAGAGGAATACATATGTAGAAGATCTGATTGAAGAAGTAGTGGTTGCCCCAGAACAAGTTATGGAATGGATAAGAAAAGGAGAAAGTAAGTTATTTAGCCACTGTCAGCTGATATTTAAAAAAAAAATTGATGGATCAGGTATATCTAGAACCGTGGGGTATCTTTTTGAGTTTATATTCAGAAATCAGTGTTTTTGAGAAAGTTTTAAAATTATGCTTTTTTTCTATTTATCTCCATTTTATCAAAATAGAAGCAGAAGTATTTTAATATTGTTTTTGGCAGGAAATCGTCATTATGGAGAAACAAAAATGAATGAACACAGCAGCCGTTCTCACACAATCTTCAGAATGGTAAAAACTGCTTCACTATTAGGAGTGGTTGTATTGTTTTCAAAGTGACAAAAACTTGATTGCACTTTATTGCATTTCTAGATCATTGAAAGCAGAGAACGAAGTGACCCTGCAAATGCAAACTGTGATGGAGCAGTCATGGTTTCTCACTTGGTAAGTGTCTATTTAATGGTTTCTTGGAGTACGGCTTAGCTGGAGAATTTACTGTTACCACTTGTTTGAGAGAATAATGATACTTCATAATGACTGACAAATATGCTCTGTTGTTAACTTCTAGCAGACATTTCTTAAGTATAGAGGGAGACTCCTGGGGCATTACCTAGGGGATAACTTCCCACCGAAGGAAATGCTGACATGGGAATTACTTATACTGGACTGGGGAATGTTACGTAGCCCTTCCAGGAGCGGAAGGGGCTATGTCAGAGTGCTCTTGCATTTTAAGTACATCTTCCCCTACAATTGTTTCTGACCACCCACAAGCTCAGTGAAATAACTTGTAAAATGGGTAACCTTAAGACTTCTTTTAACCTCTTTGTTAAAAGAACATTTGCTCTGCAGCTCCAATGACCAGAAGATTCTTTTTTTTTTCACAAGTAACCCCTCTTAGCATCTCTTTGGTGGATTGTTGGTATATGAAGTATCATAAACTGGGGGGAATACAACTGCTGATCTCTAGGGGAGTGTTATGGTTTCAGAAGCCTTCTCTACAGCCTTTTCTTGATTCTCAGAAAATAATCTCAAAAACTGGAGGAATGGAATCAGTATGAAACCATTTGAGCTTGCTAAAATCTGCAAAAGCACTCTTATTTGGAACTGGCAATAGCATTAATCACATGCATTGTGGAAAGAGTTTTCTGTTTTGGCTTCATGGGAAAAAGCTCAGAGTCTGAAAGTAAACACTGCTCAGGCACTATTTCAGCAAGCTACTACCTCCTTTTTTTCTTGCCATAAGTTATGGTATCTACTCTTCTTACACCACCCCTACCCTTTGGCCTGTTCCACCTGACCTTATACTAACCTTTACTACCTGGGGTAAGGGGAGAGGTTTTTGGCCTTTATGGTCTGTTGCTGCTCGATGGAGTTAGTTCATGATTTTACCCTTCTGAAACAAAAACCAGCTAAAGTGAGGGCTGCTTGCTCAGGCAAATCATTATGGGTTGTTGTGAAGTTCAAGTTGACTTTGAACTGGATTCAGAGGGAGGTTTTTCCTCTGGTATTTAATTTCTTCTTTTCTGTATCCCCACAGTGACAGGCAAGGAGAGACATACAGCTGATTCAGGACAGCGTGCTAGATGATCTCATCTAGGCTCTTTTTTCCATGAAATATTCCTATGGCTTGAATTAGTAGCTAAGCACAGTTTCTCAGTACAGAAGTATCATCTTTTTGTTACTGAGGGTAGGGGTTCTTGCACTGCAAGTTTGAAATACTGTTTGGGGTGGTGTAATAGAGTTCATACAAACTTATTCTGTGTACTTTTGTACCTTGAAAGTATGGGTTGATGTGTGTATAGCAGCTATGGTTACTTCCAATAATGACAGACTTCTTGGGGTTTTTTAAGTGTAACTGTGGTTTATGAAATTCTTAGCAGAGATTTAGAATTAAGAGGATTTAAACTAAATTTTCTCAGAACTGACCTGTGAAATATTTAATAAATTTGCAGAACTTGGTAGATCTGGCAGGCAGTGAAAGAGCTAGTCAAACAGGATCTGAAGGTGAGTGTTAAATGGGGCTCTCCTGGTGACCATTTCTGTTAATTAACCCTAACAAGAGACTATGATAGGACATTCTTTGATCTATGTGCTATTGTGTTACTTATTGTTTATAAATAAGCTCTTTTCCCCTTAGTAGAGCAGGTTCTACTCAGGAAAATACTGTAAATGCTGTAAAGTGCAAACAATTAAGTAGTAATATTCCTTTTCTAGAGTAGCAGGCCTGGCAACAGTCATGCACTGAACTAATAGAATGGAGATGACTCAGTAAAGATTCACCTGTAATAACAAAATCACTAGAAGCTTTTTAGGGACTTGTATATAAAGGTGAAGAGGGAGTAGATGGCTTGTTCTTTAGCTGTTGAGAAGCTTGGCTATTAAAAGTGACAGCATGAAGCTGTACAAAAATGTCTTTATCAGAAAAAAGTGATCTGAGAGGGACAAAAGTAAAATATTCTCTCTTATGAAGAATGACTAACCCAAACCTTGTATCTAAGGCTGGTTTGTTATGCATGTAAATGTTGCAATTGCAAAATTTAAACAGGAAACAAAATTAAAGTTCTTATAGCACTACCTACTTACTCTATAAAGGTTCTAAATGTTCATTTGTGATTACTCTCTTACTTTGATGCTTTTTGGCTATTACGAAGGATTTGATACTGCCTGCTTATGGCTCATAGTGCATTGTGGCACTTGAGATTCAACTCTCAGATAATCCTTCTGAGCATAACATAGTACACAAGCTTGACAGGTTGAAAATGTATCTTAATGTTTTAAATTTAAAATAATAATAATAATTAAAAACATTACTGTGTGGTACCTAGGTGTCCGATTGAAAGAAGGCTGCAATATAAATCGGAATTTGTTCATTCTGGGTCAAGTTATCAAAAAACTTTGTGATGACCCTTCTGGGTAAGCAACTGTTCATACACCTGTTATAAGATAAGTCACTACTAAACTAAGAAATTAAAATCTTTTATTTATAATATTTTGTAGGTAACTGTTTCAAATAACCTGTTATCTCTAGAAAATATATTTACTGCAAATTTCTTCTATGCAAAAATCTGAATGATTTTTTTTTTTCTTTCCTCTTTTTCATTAGCTTCATAAATTACAGAGACAGCAAACTGACTCGAATTCTGCAGAACTCCCTTGGAGGAAATGCTAAAACTGTTATTATTTGTACAATTACTCCAGTTTCTTTTGATGAAACACTCAGTACTCTTCAGGTAAAGCTTCTCACCTGTTCTCCAGCACTATTCTGGCTGAAGGCTTTGTTGTAGATAGGGGAGGGTGGAAAATGTAATCTGATGGATCTTTAATGACTTGGATCTTCTAAAGGGCTTTTGTGAACTCAGAATTTGAAATATTTGTTTTGTATACAGAACCTTTTCACAGTCGTCATTTTGTATTAGGTTGTCTACCTAGAGCTTTTTGGGAGTTGGAACAAAGCTCCTTCTCTTGCAGGCAGGAGATAACCTCTCTTCTCATTTACCTTTTCCAAACACAGTTAGAACAAGTCTTTGCTAACACAAGATTTAAGACAGGTACTAAAGGAAAGGAGAGTAATTGAACTGTTAAAGAACACTGTTCTGTAGGTAGGATTGTCTTCCTTTTTGGTGGTCTTTTGAGCTTTCTATTAAATAAAAATAATGTGGGATATATTTGTTTAAATGTTATGCTTCATGTTTTAGATATTAATATCAAGCAAAGAAAACTTACTTTTCAAATCTCAGAATACATTAAAAATAAACCAATTTATATGCTGCTCTTTATCTAATAAACTCTCCCTTTAATTCTGTTGGGAAATATGGGACAGAGTAAGTCTTTTTATAATATTTGCTCTCGAACTATTGCCCATGAAAGCATATTCTTTCAGTTTGCCAATACAGCCAAAGGAATGAAGAATACACCAAAAGTCAATGAAGTACTTGATGATAATGCCCTCCTGAAGAGATACCGAAAAGAAATTGTGGACTTGAAAAAGCAGCTGGAGGAAGTGTGTAATGAACTTCTTAAAATTAATCTATCCATAGCACTAATAGCTGTTTGGAAACTACCTGTTTTAAACCAAAAGCAGTTAAATTTGCAGGAGTAGGTATAGTGTTTAAAGTGATATGTCATTTTTATTGAGAGAATAGAAGTTGAAAAGGTGACATATAGTCTAGAACAACTGATGATAGTCCATATATCTGTGAAAGCTAACACTGAGGTCAACTAAGAGAATTGATTTCTTTCACTAGGTTAATATAATTAAGAAATAGAAACTTGTCATGCATTATAGCACACTTTAACAGATCAAAATTAATTGCAATATTAATATTATATTTATATTAATATTAATTATTAATTAATTGCAAAAAGTTAGTGAATATCCATTAAAGACCACAACTTAATCCATATTTTTTCCCCCTTACTGATGTTTAACCTTAGTTGGAGTTGCAAGAAGTTGCAACTGCATTAAGATCACTGGCAAAACTTAGGTCATGTAAAGTCGGAAGATACATTTAGAAAATGAACAATAGTAACTTCCCACAAAACAGTGTAATCTCCCATATGTTCATCTTTCTCTAAAAATCTATGTAGTTGTGGAGCAATCTTGCAAGTCTTCTTAGAGCATAGATGATAAAACATAAAGCATAGGAAAAAAACAATGCTGAACATACTGTTGTGGTGAATAAAATCAAAGTACGCACATATGTTGCAAATTATAAATATCCTTAGAAAAAAATTTACGAAAAATAACTGAGCTCTTTTTTTTAACAGTAATTAATTTGCACCTAGGAGTATGCTTGCTATCTTCTGAGATAGTAAGTAGTGAGGAAAGTAGTAGAGAAAAGTTTGTTGGAAAATTCCATGTGACTTTGAATTACTCTACAGCATTGTAAACTTATGATAAAATTGTCAAGAAACAGCTGTTACTTTCAAAACAATACATTTTCAGTACTTGGATTTAAAGAGACGACATGCATTAGAGTAGCTTGCTGTTACTTGACAATCGAATCAGTTCTGAAAGAGTTTCAGGCTTCTGGCACCACAGGAAGGTCATCTAATCTATGTTATATTTGAAAGAATGCTTTTTTTTTTTATAACTAGAAAAATCTGAGGCTGTATTGTTTCTGGGAGTTTTGACCCTTTTTAAATACTTAGTCTGCAGGTAAATTGTAGACTAAGTTGTTGGTTTCATTATGAAAGACTAAAGACTCCTCTTCCAGGTTTTAAAGAATATATGTGTGTAGTTGTTTTTAAATATCAGTAATTGTGTCTCTTCTGTAGGAGTAGTTAGTGCTCTTAAAATGTCAGATTGATTAATATTCTTTTTATGGAAGGTGTCTGTAAAGACTCAAATTCATGCAATGGAAAAGGACCAATTGGCCCAGCTGCTGGAAGAAAAAAATTCTCTGCAGAAAGTACAGGAAGACAAGATACGAAATTTAACCGAGATGCTGGTGACCGCTGCTTCCTTTGCCTCAAAAGACAATGTTAAAGTAAGCACCTGTTCTAGATCTTACTTGACGACTCTGAAATACTTTGTGAAAGGTAATATTAAATACATAGCGTTATATTGACAGTGAAGAATAAGTATGATAAGCAATTTTCATATTTTTAAGAGGCTAACTTATAACTTCCAAGTATAATTCAGTATTGCTTTGCAGTGAAAAGACTGCAGACACTTTTCCTTTCAAACTACCATGCTGTAAATTTTGAGGAAACTGCAAAACCCTGTCTAGTTAGCTGCTGGTACTGTTGCAGAACCAACCTAATGCAACATTTACTCTCTACCTACTGGTTTGATTTTTATCACTTTTCTGTAAATGCTTTTTTAAAGACCAAGAGAAGAAGAAGAGTTACTTGGGCTCCTGGTAAAATAAAACAGACAAATGTGAGCTATTTTGAAGACTTCGAAAAAGACATGCCGACTGAAACAAAAAAAAAGAAAATGTCTCTGTCAGCATTACCAGATGCAGACGATTGTAAGTAACCTCAGGAAAAAATAAGGAAAGTCTGCAAAGCAGCTTTGAAATCAGAAATAATTCCTTTTTAATAGATCTAAGTTAAAAAGCAAATCAACTCGTTAACAATACAGAAGCTAAATTTAGTTGCCACTGTACTCAAATAATATTCCGTGTTTATCTGCCAGAAAAGAATGCTGCCGGGAAGGGAAGTGGATTTAGCACACTAATTATGGTCATTCTTGTGTTGGAAATAAGGTTCATTTTATTTAAAAAGTGGGAGCATAGTTGCTATCCCGGGTGAAATAATGTGTAGCATGGCCAGCAGGTCAAGGGAAGTCATTCTGTCCCTCCCTTTACTCTGGTCTTGTGAGACCTCAGCTGGAGTTCTGTATCCAGCTCTGGGGTCCCCAGCACAGGAAGGATATGGACCTGCTGGAGCGAGTCCAGAGAAGGCCACAGAGATGATCAGAGAGATGGAGCACCACACCTCTCCTATGAGAAAAGGCTGAGAAAATTGGGATTGTTCAGCCTGGAGAAGAGAAGGCTTGGGGTGACCTTATTGTGCCTTTCCAGGATCTGAAAGGGGTGCACAGGAAAGCTGGAGAGGGCATGTAGCGATAGGAGAAGGGGGAATGGCTTTAAACTGAGAGTGGGTTTAGATTGAATATTGGGGAAAAAATTCCTAATTGTGAGGATAGTGAGGCACTGGAACAGGTTGCCCAGAGAGATTGTGGTTGCCCCATCCCTTGGAAGCATTCAAGGCCAGGTTGAATGGGGCTTTGAGCAACCTGGTCTAGTGAAAGGTGTCCCTGCCCATGGGGGGAGGGGAGATGGAACTAGATGGTCTTTGAGGTCCCTTCCAACCCAAACCATTCTATGGTTCTATGAAATTCCTGATAGACAAGTTTGCAAGCATTGCATTATTTAATTTCCCAAAGAGAATAAGTTGATTCTGGATTTGGTTTAGTATTCATTAGCTTGTGATATGGTGGTCAGCATAAGTGTAGAGACTGGACTTCAGTGGTGTTCCCTTTCATAACAGAAAATCATGAATTGGAACTCCTACTCGGTGTGCTATGTTTTGCCACTGAATGACTGTTTCCAATGTCTTAAAATTGTTTTATAAGAAAATTCCTGATGTCTAGTTTAAAATCTACTCATACTTTTTTTAATACATCTTTCTTCTCAGCTATGTTAGATAATTCTGAATGTGACAACCAATCTCTGATGGTTCCTGATCAAATTTCAGAAGTAGAATGGATCGCTGGACCTAAAATGACTTGGGTAACATCATAATCTATTTTAGTTGTAATACTGTGCATATGCATATATGCATAATATACTTCTCAGTAAGGTCAACCTTACTGTTCTGTAGGACACCAGTATTATTCTATGGGTCTGCAGAATTATTATAACTGGTTAGAAAGTAAGTCTCTTGGACATCTCTGCAAAGCTGTGGGATGGTTCTATGCTTCTATGCATTTGTGGCAAATGATCCAGTAAACTTTGGTATAGAGACAGGACTAGCTGTGAAAAGACAAGCAACAAAGAATATAATACTCAACTTGATCTTGTAGATCTGTTAATTGAGAGTGATTCTTTCTCTAGACTCAAAAAGACTTTGAAGAATCTGTGCAACTCTGTGAAGCAATAGCATTTGAAAAGGTAGGTCTGTTCTGAATTTTCTAGAAATAAGACTGACATTCCAGCAACAGCTTCTAAAGTTTCCTGTGCTGCTTCTTCAGGATATTGCTGTAAATAAGGCCAGCATCCTGCAAGCTAACCTGGATAACCTAGTGTTGGAAAATGAGCAGTTGAAATTAGAAATAAATGAAATAAAGGAGAAACTGAAGGAAAAAAAAGAAATAGATGAATTTGAAGCACTGGAAAAACAAACACAAAAAGATCATGAGGTAAGGTGCATTGAATTAGATACGAATTCTCTATGCTCAAATGTTTTCTAGAGTTTATTCAGTGTACATAGAATTGGATGTTGATTCACAAACAGCTACATTTGCCAACAGAATGAATGAACCCAGGATTTAAACTGGATTTACTTGGAGTGTAAAATTCAGGCAAATTTTTGGCGACTTGTATATGATTAAATGTATATTAGTGTGTATTTCGATATGTATCTATATATTATTTTTATATACACACGATCTGAATTTCACTCTAGACTTCAGTAAGACAGTTGTTTTGCTGCTTAAATACATTTTAGACCTGTTTTGAAGTTAAAGTGTGATTGCTAAACTGTATTTCACATCTTTCTTGTGCACATGTCTTGGTTTACTAGATAGCTCTGGCTTTTGGTAATCCATGGACTATGTGAGCATTAACTTTTAACATACTATTTAACTTCATCATGAAATATTTTAAAATAATAGTGTGAATACTAATGTCTGGAAAATTGAAACGTATTTTGTGCCAAGAAGTCAGAAAAATCATAAACTTATCTATTGGATAACTTATGATATAGGAAATGCTGATTTTCAGTTCTCTTCACCTCCTTGTGCAGTTAGTGGAGTATCTTGTTTGTCCAAATGTTTTATGCTCTGATTCTGTAACTTTAAATACATATTAATTGTATTAGGTTCTAGCTGCCCAAAGGCTAGACTGTGAAATAAATTAATACCCAAAGAAAACCCCAAACCAGCAACCTGAGGTACTGAGACATGGATGTATTATTCTGTTTCTTTCCTGGTGCCTTTGCTGGAGTTTACTTGTCCACATCAGACTGTTCAATATCCTCTGATCATGACACTAAGGTTGACGTTTGTTGCTTCCTCTTGCAGTGTTGTTTCAGGTTACAATTTAACAATATCACTGCTTATTTTCATTGTGTTCCCTACAAAGATTTATGGACCTTAAAGAAAATGGATCCATAAGATATTATAATTTATTATAATGTATTATAATGTATTAGATTAATTACAGCAATACTGAAAGGTCACATACTTCACTACATACATTAGTTGAAATCCATCAGTTTATAAAAGTAAATTGCATAGGAATACTCACAGGAGAGCACTTGTTTTAAAGCTTTTCACTGATCTTAAAATTACAGATTGGATTTTCCCCTTACCTATGCTTGTGACTATACAGAAGTACTTGTAGATGGCTGCTTATTGTAAAGCTTTTCTAACAAAGACCAAAACAAAGGACGTCTTAAATTTCAGAAGTGCCTTTCTATGTAGTCTTCTACTTGTACCTTCTTTCAGAGAATGCCACTGAATGTGTTCATGGCTTGCTTTACTTCAATTTTGGCACCTTCTCATTCCTGTTAGTGAATAGATTAAACCATAAATAACTGCACTGTGTCACAAAAAAGCTGCTTAACATGACTAGATTTTGTCCTATCTGTACAATTTCTCCATGAATTGCTTTGATCACATCGCTCTTGCTTCTCAAGCTATTGTAGATAGCTTGAATCCTTTCTAATTACTGGGAAACTAAAAGCAGAGCTTTGCATCTTATCTATCCATTTGAAAGAATATGTAGCATCTTGCTTTGTAGCTGTTTCAGTAGATGTGTGTATGTATATATGGTTTACCCACTACTACAGAAAAAAACACAAGATAGACCTTGCTTGTTTTCGTGGTGTTGGCGACTAAAAACTATTGGTGTGGGTGCTTTCTAACATCCTCTGCAATTTTGCTTCAATTTGCTCCACAGATACAACTAATGCATGAAATTACCAACTTAAAGAATCTAGTTTCAAATTCTGAAGCATACAATGAGGAACTTCAGGTGAGCCTCTCCATGCATTTACGTGCAGTTAAGAATTGTATGAAATGTCCTTGATTTTTTTATCTTGAACTACTGTATCTGCTGTGGACATGATAGACATCATTGGGCTTTGGTTAGTCTTACCAGCTAAAAGGAGGATATGTCTAAAACCCATGAACTCTTTCTGTGTAGGTTTTGGTAAATTCTGACCTGAAAAACCAAACTGGGCACTAAAATCTTCCTTCTCTCTTTTTCTTTCAACTTTTAGGCAGAAAACAATTCCAAATCGGAACAGCTGAAAGAGAAAGACAACAAAATAAAGATATTACAGAATCTTGTGGAAGAATTACAAAAAGCAAGAGTGGAAAAAGAGATATCTTTTTCAGTGGTAAACCTCAGTTTTCTGCTGGGTTGTATTCACATTTTAACCATGTTATAATGAACACATTTTCTTTATTATGTCTGAATAATTTTTTAATTCTTTGAATATTTTTCAGGGAGATTCTGATAAGCTAGTTGAGGAAATTCAGCAGCTGAATAAATCCCTCTTAGATAGTGAAGCCATAGCCTTGGATGCCAAAAAAGAATCTGCTTTTCTCAGAACTGAAAATTTGGAGCTGAAGGAGAAGATGGCAAGTACTTGTTGAACTGCATTTACAGCTGTACCAAATGCTGTTAAGGGCCTATCTGCTTCCAGACTAGTGAAGAAGGCAATCAGAGTAGGGGAGCACAAGCTTCACAAGAAAGCACAAGTCATTAGCTTTCTCCAAATCCTCTAAGTAATGTTTTTATTATGAAATTCATGGAAAACAGCTCTTCAGGAAAGAGATAAAAAGAAAATAAAGGCTTCTGCCACAGGAGTGGCTGGTTAGTTTTAGGTTTACCAGTAGAAAGCCACAATAAAGGAACAGTTTTTAGGGCATTACTAGAACATAAGACTTCAAACCTCATTTTACCAGGGAACAAAAGAGAATAAGAGGTGTAACTCAAAAGTGGTATGGAGCTTAGTTTGAGCTTTGAAGGAGTAAAGACAAAATAGTAGCAGCAGTTACAACCCTGACCTCTAAGGTATGTTTTCTGAGAGGGCTCGGACAAGAATGCAGTTGTTAAATATTGGCTTATTTGGCCATATTTATCAAAGCCAAAGCTGTTCAGAGTGACAACAGAAAAATGTACCAGATGCAGTATTTAAATGGTAAGGAAGTAGACTTTTATTTTGTGTGTGACTTGTATGTTTTATTGTTTTCCTGAAGAATGAACTCTTAAATAATCACAACCAAATGCAGAAGGATGTTCAATTATATCAAAGCCAAATAGAAGCGGGAAAAGCCAGTTACCGAAAAATGCAAGCTGACTTGCAGAGAGAGTTGCAATCTGTATTTCAAGAAAACTTAAGACTAACTTCACTCCTGGAGGGCAAAGTTCCAAAAGGTACTGTTCCAGGTGGTGCTTGTTCCCCTCACCCCATTTCCTCCCTTTTTCTTGTCTTGGGGAGGGGGCAAATAGGGAAGACTTCGGCTCTTGTTTTCCTGAATAATTGGAGATTCTGACAATATAAAAATACTGGAGTATCTGGTATGTAGTAACTGCTTTAGCACGTTCTTGAACTTTTTGGAAAACTGCAACTTACGGAATATTTTATGTTTTGCACAAAGACAGTTAAGTTAGTGAAGGCTGTTCGGGAGAATTTAAGATAAACTGGGTGCCAACCTAACAAGTGATGACCAAATTCAGACCAGGAGCTTAATTGTTGGCCATTGTATAACTGTCTAGAATTATACTTATCTGACATCCAGAATGCATTATAAATCTTCTGCTTATTTTAAAACATGATTTTCTTCTCTTGCACTCGCTTATCAGTCTAAACTTGTTAATTCTCTAGATTTGCTCACTCCTATGGAACTGGAAAAAAAGGCAGCTGACTTAAAAGGAGAACTAGAAGAAACTTTGAAAGAGAATGCACTTCTACAAAAACAAGTAAACGAGCTATCAGAATTTCAGTCTCTGCCAAATACTGTGGAGATGCAGAAGAAAGAGGTAAAAAAAAACCCTTAACCTTTTTTTTCTTTATTTTGCATTGTACTTGACTGGTAATGTATTAACGGAGGCCTATTGGATATGAAGTTTTAAAGTCAAAAGTTGTCTTGAATCAAGTAACCTAAGACTTTACAATTAAGTTTGTTAAATTATTGTTTCTCAGGTATTTAATATTTTTACCTAGGAATAAGATTAAGATCACATATTTAGTCAGAGTCTACTATGATTTATCTGGATTTTCTAGTCCAACATTTGTGTGCCTTATTTGCTGTGATCACTGTTGATAACTGAGTGTATAGATATAATAGTGTTTGATCCTGGATACTATTCTAAAACTGATTTTTTTTATCAGTTTGGGCAAAGAGAATATGTCAAGGTCTCTTAGCAGAAATGTTGCTTGAGAAGTGAGAGATTTACCTTGCAAATGGTGGAAAATGTGTGAGCAAACTATTTGTTTCCTGGCAGGTCAAAGCTCTAGATTAAGTGTGCTGGACATATGTTTTAAGGGGTTTGTTTGCAAACACTTTCTGGGTTTCTTTGTCCTTAAATACCCGCTACTAAGTATGTGCAATGAAAACTATTCAAGGCAAGTAATCTCACCAGCTCATTAACACTTTGCAAAAAGTTCCAAACCATCCAGTGGTCTACTTCCACTAATCAACAAAACTTCATGAGATGGTAACAACTTCATAAACTCTGTATCATGAAGAAAGTATTGATACACCTAAATATTCAGTTTAGGAGTCCAGTCTTAGCTCAGACATAGGAAAAAAGAAGTAGTAAAGAACATCTAGAGTTAGAGGAGTGATTTCCAGAATTTGGAAGGGGCTTGACTGTCTTCCCTCTCTTTTAAGGATTCCTTGCTAGACAGTTCCCTACCAACAAAGCAAAACTGTATTTTGAAATATGCTTGCCTGTACTTTATTTCCTATATCTGCATATGTACATGCTTTTTAGTAGTTATAATAAATACTGATAGAGAAAATACTACTAATATTGCTTTTCTGTTGGCAGATTCTTGAAAAATGTGAGGAGTTACGTTTATTAAAATTGGAAAATGAAAAGCTGCTTTCTGAAGTAGCTGATAATGAAATTAAACTTAAACACATGACTGAAGAAATTGAAAAATCAAAAGACGATCTAGCAGATGCACAACTGAAATATATGAAGTCTGATCAAGAATATGTGGCACTTAAACAGCTCCATGAAGAAATGGAACAAAAATACATAGCTACATCAGAAAATAATGAAAAAATGAAGCTCCAAATAGAATGTCTTTCTAAAGAAACACAAGAGTCCAAAACAACTTTGGATGAAATTAAATTAGAGGTCAGTCTCACCTTGTTCTTTTTTACAGACAGGACTTGAGAAATTAACTTATAGTATTGAAAACAGGAAAAAAGTTTTTGGAGGAGTACTCTTAAAGCTATAAATGACAATATCATTGATTTCCTCTAACATGAGTGGATATTACTTATTCTATGCCAAGGGTATAATGCTGAAGGATTATGCTTTCCAATGGTCTCTTTTTTTTGTAGGCAAAGAAGTGTATATATTGCTCCAGGTTCTCCTTCCATACTTGATCTTTTAATTTTTCTTTTCCCATTCTTAAGTTATATCTTTATTATGTAATTTTTTTTTAATGCCACTCTGACCTTCTCTATATAAAGTCATAGAAACAAAGTTTCCTCACTGAGAACTGGAGACCTTTTAGAACACAAGATATTCAAACCAAAGAGAATTGCTACAGAAATTAGGCATTAGAAAAAAAAATATTAAAGAAAACATTTAAGAAGAAAAGGGAGCCAAAGATACATATTTTTGACAAAGCTTTGGGCACTGGTGTGTCTGTCATATTCCAGCTATGAATTTGATTATTCCTAAAGTATGCTATAGTTTCATGTGTGGTGCTATATTTTAGTAAGACGTTTACTTCTAAGAAGAAACCACAGGAAAGTTGCATAAAAAAATGCTTAATTGACGTGGGCGAGAGTATAAGCAGTAACTTAAAGAGAAATTATGAACTTCCTATCTCTCAGCCCTTCTAAGCTCATATAAGATTCTGTGAGAACATGTACACATAATGGAGTTCTACATTACAATGAAAATGTCTGGCCTTTTCCTTTGCAAACTAAAGCTCTCGAGCAAAATGAAAGAACTGGAAGAAAAAACAGCAGAACAAAAACAACTTCTTGAGCTAAGAGAAGATTTTATTCAGACTCAGCAGAAGTTAAATGAAATGGAGCAATTAAAAGAGGAAGAAAGGATGAATGAATTGAGACTGGAAGCTAAAGATTCAGAGATCCAGGCAGTTCTTCAGCAGCTAACTGAATGTCAGGAAGAAATAAAAACTCTAACCCAGGAAAAAGATTACCTGAAGCAAAAAGCAGAGTCTCTCCAAGCTGAGACAGACCAACTCAAAGAGGATATAAAGGACACTGTTTCAATGGTAGGAATTTTGGCCTTATAGAAATAGACCATACATGTTAAGAGGAAGAGCGTAAGAACACTATAAACTGTATTGAAATATTTAGGGGAACATGGGAGCAGCAGGTTGTGTGGGATTTTTAAATCAAGGAATGCCTACTAATATTGCAAGATATTTGTATTTTCTTTGTGGATTTTCTCTCTTGTATTCTAAAGAACATCTTGGCACATGAAGAACTGAGAAATACGCAGAGTTCTCTCAAGCAATCCCAGGCCACTGTCAAGAAGTTGGAAAAATATATTTCTGAAAACGAATCTCATGTTTTGAGTGTTGAAGAGGCACTAGGAAAGACCATTAAAGAACTCGAAACACAGGTAAAACTTTATGTTTAAAAATTTAAAATAAAAATGCTTTCAATGTGTTTTCCAACAGCATGAGAACAAGCCAGTCAACCTGCTTATAGTCTCTTCTGCATGTTCTTAGAAAATTTCTAGCTCCTTGATAGCAGGTGGGCAAGAAAATAGCACTGCTTGACCCAAGCCTTTCCCAGCTGCTGATCTGTTTCTGTTGAGCTTCAAGCTGTGAAATACACTCTAATAAACTTCTGCTTAACTACTGTGCCCCCTTGGTTGTGGATTTGAGTGTTGGCATTTGATGGCAAATGGAAGATAAGAGTTACTTAAAGGGAAGGAATGAGGCTAATGATTTAAAACACTCAGTCCCACTGAGAAGTGTAATGTGATTGGCAATGGCAACTCAGTTCCCAACATATAGCAGAAAGCTGATCCACTGGTTTTTGTGCCAGTACATACAATGAGATTTTTCTTGAAGTATATTAGCTACCAGCAAGTCAGTGGTTTTGTATTCAGCATGTGTGCTTTAGAACAGATGCAACAGTATAGCAAAATGGGTTTCTTTGGCTTCCTCCTCTCAGACTTTTTTTACTTAAAAATTTGGCCAATATTGCAGCAGATATTGCTAAAAGGTTAAAAATTAAAATATAACAGGTGACAAAGGACACAGACTTGGATTTGTAGCTTTTCTGGTTTGGTCAGAGTGGTTTGATGTTAAAAATACTGCAGAAGAGTGAATCAAACAAAACTGTTGCGTTTAATTTTGAACTGATGGGAACACTATCCTTGCATATTGTTTTTATAGATTTCACAAATGACAGAAGAAATGAAAATCATCAAATCAGAAAGAGATCAGCTTGCTGAGGAAAAATCAGAAAGTCATAGCTGTATAGAAAGTGATCAGCTTCAGGAGCAAAAGGAACAAATCATTTTCCTTACACAAGAGAACCGCTCATTGCAAGAGAAGTTGGACAGTTTACATCTGAAAAAAGAAGAGGTTGGGGAAGGAACTTGGGTAATTATGCTGAGGCCGTTGTTTATGGAGAGCAAGTTGTTTAAACTTTCACCTCGGTGAAATAATTTACAAAACACATTGGAGAAAAGGGTCCTGGTCCATGACTGTACAACATTACCCAAGAGGTTTATTATTGTTTTCTTGCAGTTTACCCCACCCATATTGGTGTATATGGACACATAGGAGTAGAATATGACTGTGAATAGAGTATTAATTTGACAGAGGCTGGTGATGTTCTGCATTGGTCTGCACAGGGTTCTATAATTAAGTGGTTTTACAATTAAGTATCTGAAGCTAAAAACTACTTGTCTGGAATGGGTGGTTCTGCTTTCTAAAGCATAGCTAGAACTGACTCTTTTCCTGGCAGTGAAAGGGACAATGCAACCAACCCTTCCTGTAATTGGATGTACTGATTGTACCTGTGTCTGTGTAGATGGACAGAATGATAGACAGGTAGACTTCAAAACAAAAAAAGTAAAGTCATTTGTATCCATTGTAATATGGAAGGGAGAATGGACAAATTGCAAGTAAATAGTTGTCCTGATGCCATTGTCAACTACTGCTGAGACTAGAAATACAGATTAGATCTCCGGTTTTGGGAGGGGGAGGGATTTATTGGGCGTTTTTGTTTTCATCATTGTTGTTGTTCACCCCATGCTTAAATTATGACAATGAAATTTTGCTTCTGGTAACTTGTTTCAGAAGTCCTTGCTTCAAATCTTATTTTTACATGTCTCTTATTTCAAAAAACTTGAATTGCATGTTGTGTTCAGACAAATTTTATTATTCTAAGAAAGCCACAAATCTCTCTAAGACAGCACCTTTATTTTACATACTGCACATGTCAAAGCTCAGGTATACTTCTCTAAAGCTATTTTCCTAAATGTGTTAACATCTATCTTTGCATAAAATAGGTACCACAGGTCCAAGAAAAATCTCTTGAGCAAGAGTTACTTGTTCTGAGGGAAAAGCTCAGCCAGGCACAAAGGCAATTGCATGAAATGGAGGAAGCGAAGGCCAGTGAATGCAGAGGAGAATCTGATAAAATGGGGAGAAGAGATTTTATTCCAAAACTGCATGACTGTCAGGAAGTGAGCACCCAGACAGAAAGAGAAGAGGATGATCTTAAAATGCAACTGGAAAATCTCCAGAACGAGAGAGACCAACTAAGAGAAACTGTACAGGAGACAATAAGAAAGGTAATAAAAATAGTCCTGTTCCTGTAGGATAATAGCTTTAGTAAACTTCTGCCTTAGGTTTTGGAAGTGTTGTTCAGGTGTTAATGTACTTCAATTGTGTCCAAAGAATTCAGAGATGCAGAAAGAGTTGCAGTGTACTCACAGATCTCTTGGACAACATCAGGAGACTATTGTGGAGCTGAAAGACAACATTTCAGAGAAAGAAAATCAACTCTCGAAAGCGCAAGAGGCATTGAAGGAAAAAACTGATGAACTGCAGCAGAAGGTCAGAAAGAGTTTTGTCAAGTAAATTAAAAATTCCATCATGTATGACAACCCATGATCTTCTGCAGGCTTCAGTTTGCAGAGGGTCCAGTAAATGTAAATAATGAAACTTAACTGATAGCTTTTACTTTCTTTTTTTTGCCTTGTACTGCTTCTCAATAGAATTCCATGAAAACAGAGGCAGGCAAAGGATGATCAAATGCAGTTTGACCTGCAACCTACCACCCTTATTTATAACTAAATATGTCTTAGTGCTGAATGACAGAATATTTTTTGCCATCTATACTGCACTTTGAACCTCAATGCGTTTTCCCAGTCCTAAATTTTTTAAAATTTTAATAATGTATTTTAGCTATGTAGCCCCGAAGAGCCTTGAGCAACTTTAAGGCAGTTTAGCTCATGCTTTCCTTGTTGCACTATTAGAAATTTCCTATCTACTTATTATTTCATGTCTTAAGCTTTTTTAGGCTTTTAGGGTTCATTCTTACATGTGGTAATGTCTTCCATCTGGTGTGGATACAGCAATGGAGACATTTTTATGGAACTAGAATGACCTGTACGTTTTTCCACATTCACTTTTGACTCTCAGTGAGACAGAAGCACTGAAATTTTGTTGACTTTTAAGAAAACTGTTGTATTGGTTTTGCTTATTATAGCGGGAAACTAATGGACATGTCTTCTGTATGATAATCCTGTTATAACAACCCATATGTGCAAATAACGCTTATGAAATATGGTTGAATAACATTCTCCTCAGATCAGAACCTGATTAGTGGGACAAGAAGATTTAGGAACTTGGAACGTTACTGGTTGGTTTTTCTCCAAACTATCAAATTAATTCTACCCACACTACAGATGATTAGAAATATTAATACTGGGTTTGATTTGTTCTTTCAGCTCACTGAAGTAACTGAAAGGCTGACTCATGTCTCATCTGAATATGGCAAGCTACTGGCAGAAAAAGAACAAATTGAAAGGACAATGAATGAGCAAGTTTGTCAGCAGCTTGAGAAAATCACTGTACTTAGTAAGGAGAAAGATGAGCTGCAACAAATGGTGGAGACTTGTAAAGAAAGAGAAGAACATTTGTTAAAGGTCCAGAGACGGTCAGAGATTTTGGAGGACAGCCTTACAAGCAAGGTGAAGGGGGTTGGGGTTTAGTAGCTACTTTGTCTTCTGATGTTTTATTACTGACGTGCTAAACTTTTGATCAACACAAAGCCAGTTTAAATTTTAGTTCCCAGCATATTATTTTTATGCTTGCTAAACAATCATGAACATGAGCAAAGAATTTTGTACAAGTTTCTCTACTGATATTTAGGAATAGCATCCTTAACTTTTGTCAGCTTTGTAACCAGTTGGGTTTGTCAGTGCTTTGGAACAAATGCCAATTTATCAAATGTGTCGGTTTTATTATAACAATCAGTAACTGGACATGTATTTTGGCTTTAAAAGGTACTGTGTAGACAGCAGGTACCTAAGCGGGTTTGGAATCTTTAGTCGTTTGCTCACTTTCTATATAACAGATAAAGTTTGAGAGTCTTGCCCTCAGCTCTTGCCAATTCAGTCTTTTTTCAGTCTTCACTCCTTAGACTTTCACCTGTCAAATTCTTCCTTTGTTGATCAAAAAGTATGATTGATGATTGCTTCAAATTAGGAAACGTCACTGTTCATTAGAGCAAATATAAAGGCAAATCCAATGTCCATCTTTTATGCTTATCTTCTATTTCTTTAATTTTCTTGTGATATGGACATATGTTGACTGCCTTTTCATTTGGTTCCTTGCTTTACAGAACACTAAAGTTGACTAAGAGTTCTCTGGCTGTCAGGCTACTCCTTTTCTTTAGAATTTCTTTTTCGGAGTTATTAGAACAGCAAAATTATTTTTCAACTTCTCTCGCTGTTAATGTGAATTTTAGTTATTGGAAATTGTGTTCTTTGCATTTGACAAAACTGATCTGAGTACTTCATAGCAGAGTATTCAGACCACGGCTATCAAATTGCAATTGTAATTTCTTTCTTTTTCTCCACCATTTATTGTAGATTCAACAGTTAACTGACACACTAAATAGTGTATCATGTGAAAAAGACCAGTTATTAGCTGAAAGGACTAGTCACTCTTTCCAACTTAGAGAACAAATTGCATCAGTTAATCAAGAAAAAGATGAGCTACAAAAACTTCTTCAGGACGTCAGGACTGAGCGGGACCAGCTCAAGACAGAATTGCAAAGAAATTGTGAGATGGTGGGTGTTGCAATTTGCATATCTAAGTTACTCATAAATTCTCTTGAATGGTACTTAAATATGTCTGGCTTTATTTTAGTGTGTTGAAACAAATGCAAAACTGGAACGTGCTTTAGACCAACTGAAGCAGAGAAACCTGAATGATATGTCCATTCAGGTAAACCCAGGGGTTATTGCAGAGCAGGTGGCTGATGACAACCTGAAGGAAAAAAGCTTGAACATTAAGGTAAACTTATTTCTCTGATTCTTCTAAGGATGCATGTAAAATCTTAATGCCACTTGTCCTGGAGCCTAAACCTCTTGTATTACGTATAAAATGGTTTGCATATCTTGCTAAGCTGCAAACCATGGGATCAGTTGATTTGCTGTTGCTGTTCAGTGATTGCACATCTTGTCTCAACTGAAAAGTTCAATTTAATGTTCACAGAACATCTTACTTGTTTTCATTACTGTCCAGTAACCTCAATTTTTTGCAAAATCCCCCCAAATGCTCCCTTCCATTACTCCCCATCAAATAATAAATTGGCTTCAAATAAATTAATTCCTGTAAATCCTCAGACCTTTTGTTGGTTTATTATCCTGAGTGCACTTTCACACAGATATGAGAAGTACTATTAACCTACTGAAAGCCAAAATAAACCAGAATTTATGAATTTTAAAGTACAGTAGTATTGTACTGCAGACTGTATGTCTGTGCAGCAGAATCAGGCATCATTCTATATGTGCTAGAGGAGCCCTGAGTGCTGCTTCAGTTAACGACAAAAGTGGTAAAGAACCAAATTGCAAAAATCAATCACATGTAGCTTTCTCCATCTCTATCCTACATCAGCAGTAGGGAGCTAATAATGAGGGAAGTAATATCAATTGATCCCTTTTAACGGCACTCTTCCCTTTGACTTCTGGAATAGGTAGAATCTTGTGTACCTCTTTCTTGTACAGTTTTCTCAAGTATCTAGTACTTGCTCTTGTTGGATGCAGAGCATATGTCAGTTCCAGTGTTTTTACTGTGGGGTAAAAGAGTTAAAACTGGTGAATCCTGGTTCTTTCAATTAACAACGAACGATGGAGAGAGTATTCCAAAGGAGTTTTATGCTTTAAAATGTATAATGTAGCTTGAGAGGCAATACTTTAGTTGCCCTTTACTGGGGAGTACCTTCAAGCCTGTTGCATTCCTCATCCTGCTCACTGCTTGATCACACCTTTCTTTTTATGGCAAAGTGCTGGGAACAATTTTATGATCTCTTTCCTTTGAGAAAGGACCAAGTAAATAATGTGGGAGCCGACCCTGAGACAAGGCCAGCTGACAAACTTGTGAACAGGCAACAATTTTTTTGAGGCCTGATCTACAAGTCTGGATGTGGCTAGGCAATCTAAACCATGAAAATAATTTGAGTTTGTGAAATGACTTGCTGGGAGACTAAGAAATTTTCTGATTTTGTCCCTATCCTAGTGTTTTTATCTTATCCCTGTGGCAAGTCAAAACTGAAGTCTTAGTCCTATTAACTTTTCTGTTGTAAAACCAATACATACTGTAGAGGTTAGTTCTGGAGTCTGGTCGTTTATTTTAAGCTTCTGTTTATAGCTAATCACACTTTCCCTTATTGTGAATGAATTAATTTGTTTCACTTGCATTTAGGAACTTCTTGAGAAATTTTCAAATATGGGGAAGAGGTGTGAATGCCTCTCTACAGTGTCTCTTAAGCTGAAGAGTGAACTGAATAGTCAGAAAGCGCTGATAGCTGTGATACTGCCTCAGCTTTCCTTGGTACAGAGTAAACGAGTCAAAAGACTTCAAACTGAAAATGAGAAACTAAACGGTCATCTCCAGAGTTTATTGAACAAACTGAAGGTACCAAGATGTGGATGCTTCATATTGCTTGAGTTTGGTTCTTTTTTTTAATAAGTTCTCAATATTGACAGCTAGGATTTTATGTACTATAGCTTTGATTTTTGTGAATCCATGTATTATAGAAAATAAGCTGATAGGAGTAAATGCTTTACAATCTTAGACAACTGGAACTGCGTAGTTATGTTAATCAATCTTAATTTTTCACTGTAGTTCAGCTGCTTTGCACAGTATTATTTAATTAATATTATTCCATTTTAATTAGGAATTGAATTTTTTTTCTGTACTCCATAAATCAAATTGTAGATGACTTATAGTGTATTTCTTTGTGGGAGAAAGAGATGTGCAAGTTGCATTGGAGATGCGCGTTTACTCTGCAAAACTAGCCAAGTAGTTTGATTTTATAGTCTTGCAGACCTTCCCCAAATTGGAATCAGTTTCTTCATTGAACTATAATTATCAGAAAAAAGTTAAGGTTAATTGGGAGAGTATTCCTGTTATCATATGCAGAAGTACCATAAATGATAATGTTTTTTCTGTTTCTTTATTTACCATGAAATATTAAGGGTTGGGTTTTGTTGGTTGGGGGGAGGGAAACATGGATGGGCCTGGGGAGAGAGGGAAAGGTTCATGTCCAGTTTACAAAAAACACTGCACATGATCTTGAGAGTCAGTCATGTCTATAGATATCCATTAACTAAGCAGCTGAACTAATAATGCAAATAGCCTTATTTTATAACTTCAAGTAGGGGTTTTAGGTTTGATTTTTTTTCTTTTTTTTCCCCATAGATGGCTTTTAACTTTTTATGGTTAAAGATGTTTAAGACATTAAACTAGTAATCTCAACTAGAACAAAAATTTTAAATCATCACACTGATATTATTCTCATAGATCATCTGCACCTTTCATAACTCTAAGAGGAAATAAATATTCCAAAAATTAGTTTGCTTTTCAAAGTTGAGATTCATGGAAGGCTGTCTGGAGCTTTTTAGACTTTTTGGCCTTTTTAGGAGTCTACGAGAAGTGGTATACTTGAAAAATGCTGTCTTGGCTAAAAGTCTTATATGCCATTGCTATAAAACACATGAACCTAATTTTCTTAGTCATGTGTTAATTATTCTGGACACCTGCAGGCTTGGAGAGTAAATAGAATAAATTGTAAAATATGGAATTTTAGCTGGATGCAGGATACTGTTTTAAAGCATGCTCACTGATACATCCTGTGCTTCTACAACAGTTTATGTTCAGTCGTGTTTGCACAAAGAAAAGAGACTATCATACCACTGTTAACAAGTATAAAATGGAATTGCTTGAGGAAAAGAGAAGACAAGATCATCTACAAGCCGAGATTCAGTATCTCAGGAAGATTCATTTGAACCAGAATGAAATACCGTCTCAAGAATTAAACATCAGTGAAGGGCTGCAGAGTTTCCACTTGGATGCAGAGGTAATGTTTGAAAAAAATTCAGATATTAAAGACTACATCTTTCAAGGCGTGGGGTGATGTGGTGGTGCTCATCTAATGGCATTAGGTTTATCTGGTTGATGATTTAGATGAGGGGATTGAGTCCATCATCAGCAAATTTGCAGATGACACTAAGCTGGGGGGGAGTGTTGATCAGCTGGGAAGGCAGGAGGGCTCTGCAGAGGGACCTGGATAGGTTGGAGAGTTGGGCTCATGAGGTTCAACAAGGCCAAGTGCCAGGTTCTGCACTTTGGCCACAACAACCCCCTGCAGCACTACAGGCTGGGCACAGAGTGGCAGGAGAGCAACCAGGCAGAAAGGGACCTGGGATTGACAAGATTGACAAGAAGCTGAACATGAGCCAGCAGTGTCCCCAGGTGGCCAAGAAGGCCAATGGCATCCTGGCCTGTATGAGGAACAGTGTGGCCAGCAGGTCCAAGGAAGTGATTCTTCCCCTGTACTCAGCGCTGGTGAGGCCACACCTGGAGTACTGTGTCCAGTTCTGGTCCCGCAGATCAGGAAGGATATTGAGGTGCTGGAGCAGGTCCAGAGGAGGGCAACTAGGCTGGTGAAGGGACTCAAGCACAAGTCCTATGAGGAGAGGCTGAGGGAACTGGGGCTGTTCAGCCTGGAGAAGAGGAGGCTCAGGGGAGACCTCATCACTCTCTATAACTCCCTGACAGGAGGTTGTAGCCAGGTGGGGGTTGGTCTCTTTTCCCAGGCAACCATCAGCAAGACAAGATGGCATGGTCTCAAGTTGTGCCAGGGGAGGTTTAGATTAGATATCAGAAAGAATTTCTTTACAGGGAGGGTGGTCATACATTGGAATGGGCTGCCCAGGGAAGCAGTGGATTCTCCGTCCCTGGAGATTTTTAGAAAGAGACTGGATGTGGCACTGAGTGCCATGGCCTAGTAACCGCAGCAGTAGTGGATCAAGGGTTGGACTCGATGATCTCGGAGGTCCCTTCCAACCCGGCTGATTCTATGATTCTATGATCTGTTAAGACTTCACTTATAGAAGAAGAAGGAATTGTGTTAGTATTTTTTTTTATGCTACTAATTCTATAATGTGAAGATTCCATTTTGTAAAGTGGCTGAAAATAAAATTAATAGGTTAGAAAATAGTGGGAATGTTATTTACTTATTTGCTCTGTAAAATACGTACTGCCTAGTACCAAGATGACTTCTAAAACAATGAAATCAACTTTTACTTTTTCTCCTTCCCACCTGCCCCAGCAATGCAGACTGTCTTCTCATTTTCCCAGTAGGGTGTAATGTATAGCAAAACTCCTTTTATATGATAAATAGATGCTAAAACAGACTTCCTGCTAAGAGGACAGAATGTATATTTAGACATATGGTTATCAAAGTGATATTTAAATTTTAATTCCCTTTTTTAAGAGCATTCTCAAAGATGTATCAGAAATGGAAAGTGAACTTCTCTGTATAGAGGCAGAGTTACAGCAGCAAGAAAGTGCTAGAAAAGAAACAGTACAGTTCTGGGAAGCTTGTTCAGGAACTCACTGTAATGCAGAGGAACTGGAAGAAGAGTTAAAGAAAGATACTGAAAGACTTTTGCAAGTCATTAACTTCTGGACTCCTAAAGTAAAGGTAAAATTAATGTTATAGAATCAGAAATGTATTTGGTATAAGTAGTCTGTAAATGCCTAATCTGATTGAAAACAAAACACAAAATCTTGAATGATTATTCATTTATTATCAGCACTTACTATACTCTTACTTTATTATAAAAATCTTCTAAGTACTCTTACATCTTAGAGATTTTCTCATGCATCCAAACTTGGAAACTTGCTTTCTGGTCGTCTTAATCTGAATTCTGGAAACTGTAGGTTCAAAATCGTTATATAGCTTTGCTTGCCAAACTTCATCAAAACTACTTTAGCCATTTTTAAAACTCAGTTGTAATTCATATTACACTTTTCTAATTTCAAAAAGTCAAGTTGTTCTAGAGACAGTGCAGCCTTCCTTTCTTTTTTCTTTCTTCTTACTTCTTGCCCTCTTTGGAAAATAAGACAGCATTTTTCAGGGTTAAGTGCATCATGAGTGGATTTCATGAGATTTCATCTTCCTGATTAAATTTTAAGTTTAACCTATTTTAAAAAGTTTCTTCTGTAGAATCAATAGCCAGTCTTGACTTCATCAGGATTTCCCAGTGTTGGCAAGCTTTTTGTAAAAAAGCTTGTGGGTCAAAGCTTTTAACAAACAAACAAAAATCTTGTATATTTGTTATTTCCTGACAAGTGTGAAGTTTTTCTTTGTCTGACGTATTAAATATATGGGTTTCTAGAATAGCCCAATGTGTATTTTTTCTCTAAAACGGTTTAACTTTCTTTAGTCAGTGACTATGTTCTAGCAAAAAATTCTGAATAGTTGTGTTTCTTTCTGTTACTGGTATTCAAGAAGTCATTCTAATATATTCCTTTGTTTCTGTAATAGTGCTTGAGTTAACACAGAAACCCTGGTAATCCTGCAATGTACTATCATCTTCTCTTTTGGAAACGAAGCCGTTCTTATAAATGTTACTGATTACATTTCTGATAGCAAGCATTTTCAAATGGGACACTGAAACAAGAATGTGAAATTAATACAGGCCAAGATACTTCCTGTTATTTTACTTGTCTTATTTCTGGCTGATTCAGAAATTATTTAAAATTTTATCTCTATGACGCTACTGCAGATGCTCCTTCAGCTTTCTTCAGAACTGGATGCCAGAACCTCCAATGACAGTAAAAATGCTGATGTTGAATTGAAGCAGAGAAAAGAGAAAAATGAAAAGTTGCTTCAGGATCTAAACACTCTAAAAGAAAAACTGGCCCCTGATAGCTCTGCCAGTCTCATGTTAAAAGAAGAAAACTATAGACTTCATAATAAATTAAAGGCTGCAGAACAAGATGTAAAGGTACCAATGCTTGTTTCTAAGGAAAACTTCTTTGATGCTTGCTTTCTAAGTGAGAGTACTCCAAACTGAAAATAAAGATTGATTGGCAACTATAAATCTGTGCCACCACAATACGTTAGCCCAGAGTGTACATTTTAGTAGCTTTTTTATTTTCAAGTTTGAGCTCTTGCCTATAATGTGTTTTAATTACCTGATTTCTGTACAAAAATAGATGTCAGTTTAGAAATTCATATGAAATGTTTTCATTTGGTTTTGAAGTACTGATTTTAGTAGTGTGATACTCTGGATGCTTCCTGTAAGTATATGGTATTCACTATGTCAAACGCAAAGCTGGAGAAAAGTTCTCTCTAATCATAGGAATTGAGGACTCATTTTCTCTTTCCTAGCTTTTTTGTCACAGTTACTCTTCTTCAAAACCTTTTTTTCTTTTCTTAGACTCGAGTGTTCCAGACTGTTAAAAGGGGACACAAAATAACGATCTAGACACAAAGAGTTGCCATTGAGCCTGTAGTGTTGGATTTTTTTTGTATTTTGGGTTTTTTGGTTTTGCTAAGAATATGACTGTGCTGTTACAGCTACTGTCTCTTGACATAACTACTCATAACTGATTGGTATTTCTCAATAGGCTATGGAAGTAAAAATTCAGAAGTTGGAAAATGTAATAAATGAAGTAGGAGAAAATGTCAAAGAGAAAGATGACAGAATAAACAAGTTACAAGCACAGATAAGTATAAAAACAGAGACAAGTGAGCTCACCCAACTGCAAGCCAAACTGAATGAGATGGATAAGTGCCTCAGGACTGCCTTAACAGAGAATCAGAGTCTTCAGGTATGAGCAAAATACTTTACTATTCTCATTTTCCTCTGAAGAAGGACAAAAAGCATGCTTGAGAACAGCTGTAGATGAAACATAGTGCTCTAAAGTTAACATATTGTTCTGTATGGCATTCCTGGAGTAAAACACTCTACTTGCATATTTAGCATGCAGTTTCATATTCTACCAGCGCAACCTTCAGAGGCGAAATTTACAACCCATATTATAATATTAGAAGGTAAATTTATCTGTAATGCATTTGTGAAATGTTCTAAAAAAATTTAAAACTTTTAAACTGAAACCTGATCTGCTTTTTCAATGTAATACATTTGCATGCTAGTCCAAAATTCCCAGACTTACACCTGTGCAGAAGTCAGCAAAACTTGCTAAAATATGATTGCATGTAATACATGAGAGTAGGATACCAGCTGCTGCTATAGTGCTAGTTGGTAATGTGGGCCACCTTAGTGAAAATAACTTCCTGCTCCCATTCTTGTCCTGCAAAATCTAGCAGATCATAGTAAAGATACAAGGTAAACAACCCTTAATTCCATTGTTAAGTAACAAGCCTTTCTTTGTACTAAATATTTTAATTTCAGGCAAAATTAGATAAAGGTTCTGAGTTGTACAAAGAAGAAATTGATCATCTCAAAACACAATTGGTAAAATGTGATATGGAAAGAATGAAACAATCCAACCTTTTTGAAATGAAGTAAGTTCAAATTTTATGTTGCTACTACGTTCTTAGCTTCTACTTTTCTGTTTTCCCACATAATACAGAAGTAAACATTAAGCTTTAGCTGTCACAGGTTTTGTCTAGATTCCAGAGAAGGTAAAATCTATATGCACCTTAGGTTGCTTACACAACTCCTTCCCTATACACCCACCAAAATTTCTCAACCAACCATGTTCAACCATAAATGAAATAACTGTTCTGACAAAAGAAGGCAAGGGGAAAGCAGTAATTGAAAGCTTTCTCTAATTCACTAGAGAGAGGGGATACGCAGAGAATAATTAGTCCAACTTTTGGATTTGTGCACTTTACCTACAGTCTAACTGACAACCAGGTTTATGTATTTCTTGTATTTGATAGCTCATTGGAATTCAAACTAGCCCTTCTGCAACTGTAATAACTATTAAACTGAGGTTTTCTGTTTTGGGTTTTTTTCCTCCGTTCCTGCCTCACAGACTTGCTAATTATAAAGCTCTGTCAGAACACCGAGAACAAGAGTTAACAAGGCTAAAAGAAGAACTTAGAAGAGCACACCAAGACCAAGATGTTACTGGTAAATTCAAGATAAATAGAAGGGACTCTCAACATTACGTTTTAAGGTTATATGGTTAAAGATGAGATTGAGTTGCAGGCCTTGTATCTCAAAGGCTATGAGGAGAATTGGGTGCATTGAAAGATGAGATGGAAAGCAGACTACATTAGCTCCAGATACACTACATTAGATGACAGCAGTTGCTGTGTTTACTTCTCTGGCCACATTTGCACTTGTGGAGAGACAAGCTGCTGTGGTCGTAGCTCACATTGCCATTTTTTCCTTGACTGACTGCACATACAGATAACTAGTTCTAGTCATAGTTATGACACACCTGAAACAAACTATTTTAATTCTAAATGACCCAGTGAAGAATCTTATGTTTCTTAGTATCTCCGTGGCAGTGGGAATATTGGGAGGTGTGTTTGTGTAGAAAAAAGAATAGCTGTTGTAATAGCACTTGTAACCTAGGGAGGTTTTACATATAAGACCACAAGAATGAATAGGCTAAAAAGTATATTGAGTTGGTTTTAAGCCCTGTCCAAACAATGCACACACATCTCTATAAAATTGTTTTTCTAGTGCTGAAAGAAGCAGCTTCTCAGCAATCCCAAATACCCCTTACTTGTGGTGGTGGCAGTGGTATTGTGCAGAGCACACAAATACTCGTGCTAAAATCTGAGCAAGCTAAGATACAGAAAGAAAACTTGCACCTGAAGAAACAAAATGACCTTCTACTAAGGTAAGTGTAAAGCTGACCGGCAAAATGTCAAAACATTTGTTGTATTTAACCATGCATGTCATTAGTGTTTCTTTCTGGGACACCTATAGAAGTAACTAATCATTAATTTGAAATTTGCTAGATTTTTTCACTTCATAAATTTTTACTTAAAGCCAGTGATTTATGGCTTTATATGGATTTATGGATTTATGGCTTATAAAGCCATAAATGGCTTTGGAACTTCAAATTGCTTATTTTCATAAGAATCTCTTAAATGCTGGAAGATATACTTGAATTGTATGCTGGGAGGAATTTTAGCTTAAAAAAATAAAAAAAAAATTCCTCTGAAAGATACACAACTGTTGCACTGCCATGTCTGTAGTCTGTCATCTGAAAATATAGGAACTGTCTGGTGTTCCGGAATTTTTCCTTAAAGGAACTGTGTTTTGGTTTTTTTATTCTTAATTAAATGCTGGGGGTTTTTTCTTTACAGTAATGAGCGTCAGCTGAAAGAGGAACTCAGGAAATGGAAAGAAAGAGCACTAAAATGGAGAGAACGATCCTTAAGAGAAAATACTCGAGAGACAATACCACAGTCTCCAAAAAAGACAGTCTCATATTTCTTCAAAGAACAAATGCTTTCGCCCTCCAAGGAACCTATTTCTCAGGAGATTGTGACTCAGGACCTATCAAAACCTCTGCCACTGAGTTGTCCAACAAATTTCTTTGATAATTCCAGCTTTGGTATGCTAACAGGTATGTAACATAGCGGTGTTGTCCTGTAAAGATTTGGAGAGGAAAAATGTAAGGGATAGTCTGAGTTGAGGGTAAATGCTCTGTACTTATATATTCAGACCTGAAACTTGCATGATAACACAGTTTTCCTGAATGGTTAGTCAGCTGACTGTTGAAAAGCTGACCATGTGAGCTGTGAGGCTATATATGCTCTACTTAAGAGAAATATTTAAATGAATCATTCACCTCCTGAACATTATACAAACTTCTTTCTTTTCTGCAGTGAAAGTGTTGATGACTGATTTTTAAAAGTGAATCAGCAAAATATCATTTTTAGATAATGATTCTCTAAAATGTTTTGCTTTTTAACTTTATATTGGTTAATCACAGACTTCTGGTAAAATTACTGAAAGTTAATGGCTGCTTGACTTTTTTTCAAGATGGTAGGCTTTAGTCTTTGGTGTTGCATCTGCCACACTGCCTGGCTCCAGCTGCAGTAATAGCAGTTTTGATGGTGACTTCAGTTCCTTAGCTCCACTCCTGATTTCTTATATCTGGCCTGGTGACTTCTGGGGAAGTCACCTCCTAGTCTCCTAGTGGTCTCTGCTAGTGTATTAATGCTACTGCCCTCATCATTACACTTGCTTCCCCCAACTTACAGAAGGCCCCAGCAGACATGTTGAAGAGTTAACCCGCTTTTGAGGTACCACTAGGAGACTCTCAGAGAGAACATGACTCATTGCTGTTTTTGTGATGGCCAACTTGGGAATAGTACAGAGTTCCTCACAACACAAAGCTACTCAGGGGCAAGCTTTGATAGTTGACATACAAAACACTAGTCAAGATTAAATCACTGTATTCCTACAGCTTGCCTAATTGAGAAAGGCTTTAATATTCTTGTCTTCTGTACAGATACATGTCCTGCGGCCACACAGTCCACAGAAGAACATCTTAAGCACTTGTTTGGGACTTCGGACAAAGATAAGGCCCCTGATTGTAGCACCCAGTAAAGGTGCTGTATTGGAAGCTGCCTTTGCGGTGGCTACAGCCAGAATCTGCATATACAAAAGATAATTGCTTCTGGTTAAAAGCCATCAGCCTCTTCCATCCTTGCTGTCTTGGAGTTGCTACTTCCCACGATTGAGAAACTGGAATTTGAGGTCAAAAATGGAAAAGTAGTCATGATGTCCACAACCTGCTTATCTGATGATGTTCTACTTTGGTGTTTTGATGTTCTGGGGGGTTTTGATGGCAAAGAAAGAAAAGATACTATATTGAAGAAAAAAATGGAAATGGATCATAAACTAACCTACTGTGAAAGTTCTCAGTCTTAAACTTTTCATTCTGTCATTCCTAAAACAGCCCTCTTCTGGACGGTTGATATTTGTATCTTCTGACTGCTGTTGACTTGGAAAGAAATATTCTTTTTGTTTCTCAGCATGTGGTTTTTATACCATGCTTTCTCTAAGTCCCCAGAAACTGCATTTTCACTACAATCTGCAACTGAAGTTACTAATTTTCTGTTTATAGAGCACACAATCAGGGTTCCTCTTAAACTCCTTAGAATGTTTCTGCAGCTCAGCCAATTATGATACCCAGAGTAACTTTGAATTTTGGACCATCTTTCAATATATCTGTTTGAAGTTATGTATTGGAGGTTTTTTTTTCAATAGTAAGCAATGGACATAATGCTCTTCTGCTACTCTTGTGAATTAAATGTAGACCAGATCATTCGGGCAAGATGGACTCTCTTACTAGCCTACGTATCTGTGTTGTGAGAATGTTTTTATGTATGTTTTATATAAGAAAGTTTGACAATAAACTTTCATGTGTTAAGTATTTAAAATTTTTTCTGTTGTTCACTTCACTTGTGGTATGATCCAAGGATGTTGATTACAATATTCAGTGTCTAAAGGCTATTTTTTATACTAATCTCATCACTTCCATCATTATTATGCTTCTTGTCTCTGTTCTTTATAATTTTTTGCAGCAATTACTTGTGCAGAAACTTACTATTGCACAAGTCTGTCACTGGAGTTTTGTTTAATTCTTTCTGAGTCTTTCTCTGTCAGGAAATGGTTGAAGTCTAAAACATAGATCCTTCTCCCTTTCCTGCCCCTACACCCTCTACTGCCAACTAAATAGGAATTTGGCATTCAAAGCCTTGGATCAACTCCATTAAAAATGAAACCACTATTATGAGATAAGAAAGTCGTATCTGAGAAAGATAACTGCATCAAAAACATCATCCTTATTTTAAAGGCATAAAGCTCTCAGTGATGCTCAGTCTCATAAGTATTCCATTTTGGGTCACCCAAAGTGATAAGCAAATGGCTACGTTGATATGTTCCTGGGCGTTCAGCAGTTACTGGAATTGGAAGAGTCACACAGGGATTATTTACCTAATGGAGGTACTTCAGAGATCTGTAATAAAGAACCAACTATCTATTTGCCTAGAGTAGCTGAAAACTGCCAACTGTGGTAACTACTAAGAAATTGCAAGCATTTATCTCTCAAGCTCTGACCTGTAACATGTTTTGGGAAGCATTTGAAAATATTACTAGCCAAAAATACACAGATTCTAAATACCATTATGGAGTTCAGAACTGAAATGTCTTCTTTCTGACCACAGCCATAGGCAGGCAAGAGCAATTTATTTTCTTACAGGGACAAATGCAAAGTGCTGATGTATTTGTTGCAGGTTTTTTGTTTAGGGGTTGGTTGGAGGATTTTTTGGGTTGGGTTGGGGTTTTGTGTTTTGGTTGGTTTGGGTTTTTTTTTATTTTCCACTATGATTGAAAGATTTCCTTCGGGTACCAGCGTTTTGGTGTTCTAATAAATGAATTAAACTGTCTTTTTTTCTTCCAGAAGGGAAAAAGGTGTGTATATATATGAGAACTACCTCTTTCATATGCAATTTCCAGGGTTTTTTTTTTTGTTAATTACTGCTTGTTTGGAACATTTCCAGATTTGGAGATTTTTCTGGTGATGGAGCAAAAAAAAAAAGCAGAAGCTTATTGCAACAGGTCTGTGTCTGCATTCAGAGGCAAAACCTTAGGGGCAGAAGGATAAATGCTTTTAGAAAACAGTCATTAAAGATTTTATTTACTGGGGAGCTGATTTAGAAAGCCCTAGAAAGCTATCATAGTTTAGCAGAAAGACAGGATAAACTGAACTTTCGTGTATGTGTGTGTCCCACTTTATCCACAGAAGGGGCTTTTCTGAGGACAAACTAACTAAAGGTTAGGCAGGACACCAAATTTCTTAATATTATCAGGGTAGCTTTATGTCTGGTGTGAGCTTCTCACCAAATTACTTTGTCCTAGAATTTTTCAGTCTGATGATATTAACTCTGCTTCAACAAATGTAAGTTAAACCACTAGATACCAAAGAAAAGTTGGTAAATCACCAGTTTAACAATAGTTGGCACGATTAATATTTTCATTGTTCTAGTTTGGAATTTGATAGCTTATATTGCTAAAGAGAGATTGCTTGGAAAAACAGGTTTGTGGCCTTTTTTTGTGGGAATCCTGTTGACCTCTTGAATTCCTTAGGGGAAAGAGAAAGCTAATGCTGGCAATCCTTTTCTGTCCTTTCCTTTGCAGGAGAAAAACTGCTCTTTTAAATTAGGTTTCACTAGATGGCAGTATCTCAGTGTTTCAACAGGAAATTACGTTCGTGTAGGAAACACAAATACCCACAAGCACAGTAAAAAACTTGTAGAACTTCCTTTTGTACAAAGGTCAGTAACGGAGCTGGTTTAGATCTCTTCGCGAGTGACTATATTACTGCTTATTTGTAAGTGCTTCATAGAGTCTGTGACTAATGTTGGTAAAACCTGATTGCTGTATTGAAAAATGTATTTATAGTGCATTTTGCTTCCAATGTGTTACGGTGATTTGGGGAAGTAATTGAACTGATGAGGTGGCTTTTGTAAAGAAAATAATTTTTCAGTTACATTGTTTCAGAAGTCTGATTTGTTGAACCTGTAACCTTCAGGAAAACAGTTTTGCTCCAACTTTTGTCAGGAAAAACATCTGACAAAACAATGTCTCTCTGATGCAAATAAGAGAAATTTATAATCTGATTTAAGACGTAGAACACTAAATTTGATTTGGTAATCTGAGTCACAGCATGGATTTGAGCTTCTGTAGAATATAGCATTGGCTGTTAACATAAGGAAGATTAAGGTACCTTTATCTTAACTTCCCAGAGAAGAACTTGGTGTGTTGGTTTCACGTGTATATTTTCATGTGTATAATCTTACGACACCTTTCTACATTCATAGCTACATAGACAAAGTTTGCTCAGAGGATTATAAAACTGCAGAAAATTTTACTTATGGGGAACCCAGTTAACAAACTCCAAATACTGCACTCTGACTGAGTGACCTTACTTTTTAGGCAGTTCTTTGAAACATCCTACTAAGTCATTTTCTCCTTAAATAACAAAAAAATCCACAGAAGTGAGGTGATGACACTTGCTTTCACTTGTTTGTCTGCAACTTTGCATGCTTTATTTCTTTAAATCTAACGTAGCATATGAATGTGTGCACTGTGGCAGAATAGAGCTGTATTTTGCCTTTTGGCTGCTACACAATGACTAAGGCAGAAGCTCCTAAAAGTTCCCTGCCACTTGCCCCAGGCATGCTCTGTGGTTCCCTGAGAATAAGCAACACCAGAGAGGGGAAACGAGACAGCTTCATTCCCCTCCCACCTTCCTGCTTCGTTGGAGCTGGGAATCTGCTGTGCTGAAAGACTCTGAAGACAATTCAGAGCAGATACCAAGACTAGGGTATTGTGTGGAATTTATTGCAGTATAGGAAGTTGAAGTGTTTGTAGTTTGAGAGAAACAGGAGGAAGACCTACTTTCTAAGTACACAATGGGCAGTAAACACTAGATTACAAGCTATTGTTATAATGAAGCCTAACTCCTGAGATCAAATGCCTTTTGGGTTTGTTTTTCTTTGAGGTCCTTATATATAATTAATTTTTAAAAAAATGAGGAAAAAAAAAGAAGGTTGAGGCAGTCGTGCCCCTCAGAACCCTGAGAGTCATGCTGCAGCCAAAAAGGACAATTGTGATGGCAGAGGTACACTCTGGATCACATCTAGTTTTTGGAATGTACTTGCATCTGATTCCCAGGGTTTGGTGTTGGTTCATGTTTTTGTTAAAGTTTCTGTGACATCTCCTGTCTGCACAGGTGGGCGCCATGGGTCGGCTGGATGGGAAGATCATCCTGCTGTCTGCGGCAGCACAGGGCATCGGGCGAGCAGCTGCTATAGTGAGTTGGAAAATGTTTGTTCTCCTGCACCTAAGCAAGGTCTCTAATGCTAGCTTGTCTAAAAACACCTGCACCAAACCTATTCTTGAATTAATAAACCGTAGATGAAGCTAGAACTATGCACTGAAAAAATTGGGGAATAATGTATTCACTATACTGTATCATGCAGGCTTGGTGCTGTTTGAATTTCTGAAAATCTCAACTCTGAGTGGAGATGCTAAATAAGGATAAGAGCAAGATTTGAGAACAGCTGCAACTGCTTTTTTAACAATATATGGTTGGTACTTTGGTTTTGACCTGTCTGGCATGGGAGACCCTGCTGAAGGCATGTACCATCGCCAGCATAGCTCGCAACCGCATAGGGGCACACAGGCTTCTTCCCCACTAAAATGGTTAGGGCAAGCCTTTCACTCCCTACTTTTCTGCTACCCCACTGTGTTACCAGAGATCTTCCCTCGCACTGCTCACCCATGACACTCCATACAGGACTGCCCTGCCTGCCCTCCCACTGGTCCGGGGACCCCCATGGTCCGTCTGACACCCGTCCTCTCCCCCAAATTGGACTGGCAAACCTCTTGCACTCTGAAGTTCTTCCTCTCCTCTCCTACGAGGGCACAATCCCCACCGGCGGTGAGCTGCTTTACGCTGACAACGATGCCCTCGTCGTCCATGCAGAAGTAGCTCTGCGGCGTTTAACATCCTGCTTTGCTGAGGTTGCTGAGCTTTTTGGGCTGGAAGTCAGCTTAAAGAAGACAGAAGTTTTCTATCAGCCTGCATCTCAGGAAGACTTCCCCATATCACCACTGGTGAATCAGAGCTCAAATCAGTCCAGCAGTTTAATTACCTAGGTAACCTCATCTCCTCAGACGGTAAGATTCACAGAGAGATAGACAACAGGTTAGCAAAGGCATATAGAGCTTTTGGAAGACTCCATAAAAGAGTTTGGCAAAATAAACACCTGAAGAATAGTACAAAGATCAGCGTTTACAGAGCCATAGTGCTGTCTACTCTTTTATATGAATCCGAATCATGGGTCATCTACCGCCACCACCTGCGTTTCCTAGAACGCTTCTATCAACGCTGCCTTCGTTCAATCCTAAACATCAACTGGTCAGATTATGTGACCAATACATCTGTTCTTGAACAAGCAGCTGTCACAAGTATTGAGGCCATGTTGCTAAGAACACAGCTGCGATGGGCAGGACACATCTCAAGGATGAAGGACCACCGCCTCCCTAAGATCCTGCTTTATGGTGAACTTGCCACCGGCTGCCGCAAGAGAGGAGCCCCGAAGAGAAGATACAAGGACTCCCTGAAACAACATCTCAGCATTGGCCACATTGATCTTCACCACTGGTCTACTCTGGCCTCCAGTCGGGAGGTCTGGAGACACACTATCCATAATGCTGCTGCTTCCTTTGAGAATGCATGCAGGATCACTCTCGAAGAGAAAAGACAACGCAGAAAGAATTGTGTCTTGCCGACAAGGAGTCTTTCTGCTGTGCCTTTTGCAACCGGACTTGTCTATCTCACATTGGCCTCTTTAGTCACCAGCGCGCTTGTAG